TTTTTGCTTTATTATTATTATTTTTTAGCAATGGCAACAAATTCTATCAACTTTGCAAAAAGAATTTTCACGTTTGTTGACAATTTCTATGTAAAACAAAATCAAAAGAATATGATAATTTTTTCTAATTGTTAATTTTTTTTTTACTTTTTGGTAATTGGAACAAATTCTAGACGCAATGGTAGAAAAAATTATCACTTTAATGGACAATTCCATAAAAAATGTCAAACGGACACCAAACTTTCAACATTTTACAGGCGAAAAATTATACCAATCAAACACAATTAATTACAATTCCCAATAAAACAATTTTTAGACAATTCAATTTCTAGTAAAACATTTTCTTTCCACCTTTACAATCAAATGGACCCTTAATAACATCTGAGAAGTTACAATCATTGTTACTTTATTATAGTAAAATAACCAACGTTAAACTCATTGTAGTTTTCTGAACCTATTTTTCAAGGAAATGTTACAAAAATCAAAATTTTATATTTTCATCTCAAGACAGTGCATGCCTAAGTTTTCTTTCTTTATTTTTTTGTCGAAAAAAAAAATTAAATTTTCTGTCAATGAGACTGAGGAACCATATTCTATAAATTTATAGATTTTTCATTTTCGTGATTCGGGTTTTCTTTTTCTTTTTTTAATTATAGATTTTAGAAAAAAAAAACTAGAACAGCTGTCCTCGAAATACGACAATGATATGGCTATGGGAATAATATAGTTTGTTAGACATATAATGTTAGCGAAAAAGGGAATCTGACCATACTGAGTTGAGACATCTTAGGAAGGTCCGATCTTTCTTGTCCTCAATTCTCATTAACATTGTTTGTTACTCCTACTTTTATTAAATTTTGCTGGTCAATACATGGGAGAGTTTTTGGTCAAAATTATGATTATTTTCTTTTTAACATTTAATAGATATATACCAATTTATTAAATTTGAAACTTTGAAAATTCAGATTTCGATGAAAACGTAATACTCAACTTAAATATACAAATCTTTACTTGAGAAATGCTTGCGTGAATTAGTAAAATACAACCACATTCCACAACCATGACCTCGAAAAAATTTTATCTGAAGATTTTACTCTTAAAAGAGTTCTTTCATAATCATTACTCGCATAAAAAAAATATTTCAGTGAGTCATTTTCAAGTTTATGGTATAACAATTACTCTAGAAAAGGAGCATTATCTAAGTTGAACTCGAGCAATTCAATTTGCTCTCGACCGTCCCTAAAGTTTTTCACTTCTGTCGTGTCGTACCTTTACTCTATCAGACATGATTTATTGGGTGACGTACATTAAGAAACTCAAGGGAGATGAATTCAACAATGTAATGACACAAATTTGTCATTACCTTTGTTTGGGGGTGTTGCCAACCATTATTGTCCTAGTCACAGCTTGCAAGTTGCAACTGTTACAACCCATTTTTATTTTTTTCTTGTCACATTTTTCAACTTAAATTGACACTAAGGTTTAGGGGACCCCTAAGTCCATGGATCTGTGGCAGGGGGGATGTCCTAATTGATGACTTCCTTAATTTCTTTGACCCTTTATTTTGGTTTAATTTATTTGTACAAAATGAATTAAACCAGAATTCTGCCAAAAACTCACATTTAAGCTAGAATCCTGCCAAAAACTCGCAGGCGGCCACCCCGTGTGA